TGGGACGAGGTGATTCTCAAGGTCCCCTCCCAACCCAAAGYGTTCTGTGATTCTSAAGGTGCTGAGGCACGAGGAGTTCGAGGAGGGCTGCAAGGCCAGCTGCAACGGGTGAGTGCCCTGCCTGCCCTGACTGCCCGTCAGAAATACCAACTGTTATTTCTTTGTAAAATAGGGTTTGYTTTGTTTCTTATTAAATTGATTCCMTTGGAACCAACCCYATTCTGTGTAGGYGTGATGCTTACTGRACATAAATATTCCTGTATGACACATGTATAGACTGATACTCAACTATATCAAATTATTTCTAAGTTTAGCATGAGCTACATTCAGTTGCACTGATTATTACACAGACGTGGCACTGTTGAGGTTCTCAAGTTAAAAATCCCTCCTGGTAGCCCCAAAAGCTTTTGTGAAGACAAAAGAATGAAGGAAAGAAGAAATAGGRGAAAGCCTTTCTTTCTGAAATGGAAGGAACCTTAGTAGGAAAGTTTGGTGCCCTTTCCTACTTAGCAATAAGGAAGTGATTATGTAATTGCTGCTAATGAGCAGTCTSTGCTCTTAGAACAGGAGCTGTTAATGAGGCAGAATTGCTGTTATCACATGGCCATGAACGGCAGCCCGGGGTCAAAAATGTCATTATTTCACTCTAGAAATGCAATTCCTCCTTGAAGCAGAAATACCTGCAGTTCTCGATGGTTGTTTTTAATACTCACGACAYTAAAATAAAGATAATCTGGGTATTGCAGCCCTTATGATGGCAAATGGAGCAAGACCATGGTGGGCTATGGACCAGAGGACAATCACTTTGTTGCAGAGCTGACTTACAATTATGGCATTKGAGAATATCGCCTGGGCAACGACTTCCTGGTGAGTTCCCCTCCAAGCAGCCAAACCTTCCCGTGATAAGATTATCTRCTTTAATAATTAGGAGCCTGTTTGTCATGTGGGTTGTACCAGCTGCTTTTTTTTTATGCTGGTTTGGTCCCTGAAACACTTCAGTCTTGCTTTTGTGGTTGTYTCTGAGTTGGAAGAGCAGAAACCAGAGCTGATTTGTGTTCATTTAGTGTCCMGAARGCAATTCTTGAGCTGTGTGTGSAGATCCAACATGGARTGCTGAGCTAGGGAGGATCCTGCTKTAGGAAAATGCTCTTTTTATTTATTATTACTCAGTTTTTTATGATTTGGTAGCTGGCAGCAGACAGATCTCGTGTTTCATGCATGAAAATGGGTGATGTCTCCATGGATTTTGTCGTGTCTTCCTTAGGGCATCACTCTGGTGTCCAGCCAGGCTGTGAGCAACGCCAAGAAGATGGGGTGGCCCCTCAAAGAAGTCACCTCTGGTGTCTTTGAAGCTGAAGCCCCAGGAGGATACAAATTCTACCTGGAAGACAAGGAACMGCCCAAGCAAGGTGAAACATTCACTCCTGAGGGTGTTTCCAGTGGGATATTGTGTTTTGTATTTATTTTGATGGCATTTTGTGAAACTGAGCAACTTTTTATAATTTCTTTGCTGCTTCTCCAGAGTGTAAAACTGCATTTAAACCTTGTGACTAATTCCCAATTATTGCAATCCTCAAGATCCTGTGTTRAAGGTAACCCTGGGTGTCTCAAACCTGCAGAAGTCTGTGAGCTACTGGTCTGGTTTGCTTGGGATGAAGATATACGAGAAGGATGAGGAGAAACAAAGGGCTTTGCTGGGCTATGCTGATAATCAGGTCAGTCCTTGGAAAACTCACCACTGGAGCTTCTGTTTCATGAGAAACTTAAAAGRAAAAAGGGTCTTAATTAAAGCAACTGTGCACTTAATTAGGAGTGTTTCAGTTGAAGTTTGTGTACACTCAACTGCGTTTTTAAAAAAATCCAATCCAAAAAATCTGTTCCAGTTATTCCGATGGAAAACCAAAGTGGCTCCTCCTACCCATCTTTATATGGCTACTTCCACTGCTCAGTGGAAGAAAACAGCAGGGARGGAATAAATGCAAAAGAGAAAATAAGGGTTTATTACAAATCTCACAAAGTCTGTGGTTTGCTCTGGTGATTCTGGCTTGTTGGGAAATGTCTCAGGGGGGCATTTTGGAATCACCCACAACCTGGACAAAAAGCTGCAGCCTGAGAGCAGTGTCCTTACAAGCCAGGTTGGTTTTTTTTTTGCTGTTTTAGTGCAAGCTGGAGCTGAAGGCTGTTGGAGGGGCAGTGGACCACGGGACAGCGTTCGGGCGCATYGCCTTCTCCTGCGCCAAGGAAGAGGTAACAGCCACACCTCCAGCACCCCTTTCCTTTCTCCAGAGCTGAGGAAATCAATGTTCAATGTTAACAAAATATCTCTGAGCAGATAGTTTGTTTATTTTTCTTGCAGTGAGGTGATTTTGGTTTGTTTTCTGTTTTAAGCTGCCAAACATCGAAGCCCTGATGAAAAAGGAGAACCAGAAAATTCTGACGCCTCTGGTCAGTTTGGACACGCCGGGCAAAGCCACGGTGCARGTGGTCATTCTGGCTGATCCTGTGAGTAATACTGAAAACAATTATTAAATTTGGTTTAAATTGCTCTCTGCTGTTTGTTATAACTGAGCTGCTCCCGTTCAGGATGGCCATGAAATCTGTTTTGTGGGAGATGAAGCTTTCAGAGAGCTGTCCAAGGTGGACCCTAACGGTGGCAAGCTGTTGGATGATGTAAGTGACTGCAGACTCATTTTCTTTCTGATCAGAGATATCTGTAGAATCCAATTTTCATTCCAAGCTGAGTTTTATTTAGAAGCAAATTGGTAAGAAAAATAGATCAGTTTTCAAAGCTCACTGGGGCATGGTTTGCATTATTTACCGTGGCAGAGAATATTTTTTTCCATGGTTTGTTCTCCTTATCAGTAGCTAAAAAATAATTTCTCCCTCCAGAGAGCTTTCCTCATGTTCTGACCACACTCCCACTGTCTTTGTGCAGGCCATGGCTGCAGACAAGAGTGACAAGTGGTTTGCTGATCACAACAGGAAGAAGGTTTCGGCTTAGCTGCAGGAATGGACTGGGCTGCTCCTCCGTGCCTTGGATTTCTTCCAAGAAAATGCCAATCCTGGTTAAAGTGTTGCCCTGCCCTCCTGATCTGAGGGTTCTGGGATGTGCTGTGGTGGTTTGATTTGAGCCAATGTCTCTGGCTGCTGCTCTCGCCTTCCCAGCAAATCACATCTCCTCCTTCCAAAAAAATGGGGCTGTGCAGCAAAGGAGCAGGCAGAGTCTTTGGCTTCAAAACCAGGGGTCGTCAGTCGAGAAAACCTCACATTTCTGTGTTGTTGTTATGCTTGAAAGAAAGCTTAATAGATACATTATTTTCTAATTAATTAATTTTCTGATTAAATTGCTTTAACTRTCCTTTAATTTTCAGGCTGGAGAGGAGATTTTGAGGTAGCTGTGGCTGCAACCCCTGAACTGGAGCAGGGAACAGGGAATGCATCCCTTTATTGGGAACAAWGAAATTATTTTGCCAAGCCATGTGAATATCCTTATTTTCATTCCAAGGTGTTTCCCCAGCTCTCAAGGTGAAATTTGCACTCCAGAAGCCTGTGCTGTGTTTCTCACTGGGATYCTGTTATTGCAGGGGTGGTTTCCACCCCTTCCCAAGGAGATTTCCACATTCCAGGAGGGAGCTGAGGCTGTGTTTTGTGGTTTGTWGCTGCACTGTCTGCTGAGGTGCCAGGGGGCAGCTTGAAGTGAGTTTTGCAATGAGCTTTTGGTGAGAAACTGCCTTTGGAAATAACAGTTCAGGGTTTATTCTGCTGGAATGAAGTCTCCTCTGGCTGGTGGAATAAAAGTTGGGAATACAGGGAGGCATTCCTGGCATTGTCCGTGCCAGGTGTGCTCCCTGGCTTATCATTYTCTTGATGAAATCTTACATTAAATGCCTTAAATCAGGTTTTCATCATGAAATTCATTTAAGTTTCGCCGAGAAAATGAGGCACAATCACCAGCGTTGGGCACCTA